TCTGGAATCAGAGACCTAGGTAATTAATATCAGTGATGCTACACTTCATCAGTGAAGGAAAATCATTCCTAGAGCCACACAATACCATAGGCAGGGGCAACAGTCACTCACACTGTGATTCTCAGTGTGAATCAAGTCTAAGGAGAGAGGAGAACTGAAGAATCTCAATATTCCAAACAAGTGACTTAGTAAGTGATTATTGGCTTTACTAAGGCTTTAGTTTTATTACAAATATACTTGTGTAGTTAAATTTTCAATAGTTTCTTAAAATTCCCTCAATCCTACAAGTTCCATGCCTCCGTGTCTTAACCACTTTTTTAGTTTGTTTGTTTGTTGTTGTTGTTTCTGAGGATTGTATCCAGCACCATAACACTGAGCTATATCTCCAGGCATTTTAATTTTTTTTTTTTAGATGAAGTGCCAAGGTTTTAAGCTGTTCTGTTGCTCAGGATGTATTTGAATTTGAGATCCTCCTGCCTTACACTCCCATAGTGCTGGTGTAGGGGATGGTGGCCCTTAAAAGGTTTGTTTCATCCTAAGCCAGAGAAGCTTTAGTTTAACCTCCAAATTCACCATTAGTGATAAAGGGACATCTGGGCTAAATCAACCCTATATGACCCCACCTAAGTTGCCCCAATCCTTCACTCCTTCCCCAGCCTTGTTAAAACTTCACAAACATAAAGGACATAAGGGAAAATACAGGATTAATTAAAGGAAGTAGAGTTAAACAATATGCCCATATGCAGTCATAAATCTCCATGCCTAGGCCCTGCCCTTGTTTCAACGATGACCTGCCAACTCTTACACCCATAGACACAACATTCCATCACCGTCGCCCTGGCAACTGGGGAACATCTATAAGCAACAACAAAACTACAAACTGGGCTGAGTGTGATTCCATTTCAATCTATATGAGATCCCATGCTCCATCACCAGCAAGACTGTTATTCCTAAAATACAGTCTCCATGGAAATAAGCCTGCCGCTACAGCGGGACTACAGACACACACCACGAGTGATCTTAGCAATTTAAAACAAAAGAAAAAGTTGCAGAGGACAAAAGCTTCATGCTTTTCCCACCATTCTACACACACACACACACACACACACACACATATACATGGGTGCATACAAATTTGCAGTGTGCATTCACAGTCGCCAGCCTACAATGTAGTCATCAGATTTTATGTATTTTTCTTTTTCCTGAAACTTGGCAGTCAATTCTAACCCAACGATATGAACTCTATAGTTCGTGACATTTGAAACAGCATGTCTGTAATACTCTCTGCCATTGCTGCTTAGTTGATGACTAATTAAACTCTTAAAGATCAACTGCTATTGCTTTAAAATATTTTTATAAAGTTTAACTAACTAGAATTATTGACAAGAACCTGTATTCTCTCTTTTTCACATTTTGACTCTTTCATTAAGAACACATTTGCAGGGGCCGCCAGATAGCACCGTGTGTGCTTAAGCAGACACGACCGAGGTGCGATCCCCGGTGTGCCATTCTGGCCCCAACCCTGCTGCCAGGGCACGCTGAGACAGGCAACTGAGACTGAACGTGGTGGCATGTGCCTGTAATCCTAGTGCTTGGGAAGCTGAAATCAGGAGGACCATTATGAGTCTGATCTGTGTAGTAAGACCATGTAGACCCTGTACTAAATATATTTTAAAAAAGAACACATTCATAATGGGGCACAAAAACTAATAGAAGAATGACACACTACAAATAAATGAACATTTCATGTATTTATCATTAAATATTTGAAATAAATGATTGTGTCCACTGATTTGAAACATGCATATGCATACATACACTATATAAACACACATTAGATCTGAATGTGCTCAGATGTAAAAACAGTAACTTTAATTCTTAAAATATATTTTCCTTTTAAAGAACATACAGTAATTGTGCATAATTAGAGTAGAATGTGACATTTTAAAGTGTACAGTGTACAATGACCAGATAAGGGCTACAAGCATATCTATCATCTCATTCATTTAATGTGTATTCATTGAGAACATTCAAGCCATATTGACTTCAATTCTAATAAGAATTCCAGATGTATTGCTAATAAACAAAGATAATACACCAGAGATGCATTTAGTTGAAATGCTGAGAAAGCCTAGTACATCTATCAAGTAACCAGCTTACAATCAGGTTGACATATGTGAACTTCCTCAGTAATCTTGTAGAATGTACTCGGGTCAGAGAAAACAAGGGTGAAAACCTACACCTGTGATTTTTCATGAACTGCACGTGGACAACTCCTATATGAGAAAGAAATTGTGTATATGACACATTCACCTCAGCCACAGTCTCTTGGGGCATAAATTATTATTTTGAGAGTGAAATATGCATCAGAACAGTGCAAAGTACTTAAAGATCTATCAAGGCTCACAATGCAGCTATGCAATTTTGTCAGTTTTAGATTTCAAGGAAGTGTTAAGCAAGAGGATGGCCAACACCAGAAATTGAGCTAAGTAGGGAAAGTGCTTTCTCCAAGGGGAAATCTAGATAGTAATAGAAGTGCAAATAATAGGAACATATCTCTGTTCCTAATCCATAACTGGTTCCAAGTTCACACTACCTTTGAATTAAACAGTTAATGCAAGAATGAATGAATCAGACCCACATGTGTAAATATTGTATGGTCTCCCTAGTGTAAGAACTCAAAAGAAGAAACAAAAATTGAAAGGTATAACACAGTTAAATGGAAAGAGAGAATTTAGGGATTAAACAACATAGAGTAAGGAAAGGAGTTAGGAAATATGATAGGGACAAAATCATACATGTATATAAACAAGATGGTTAAGGCAATGGTCCTAAGAATTTCCATCAGGTTTTTGAAAAATAGCAGTTAATGAGTAGAATTCCCACCCTGACTAACTCTATATGCTGATATCTGTGAAATAAGCAGCTACATTGCAGACAGCAATGTGTAACTCTGAAACCATACTCTAAATGCCTGTTATTTTGGTCTTCTAAATGCATACTGCTCCTAATGTCATATCCATTGTGGCTATACTCTCTTTAAAGTAAATGCATGTTAAAAAAGGTAATAAAAGTAAATGAGGAACAAGAAAAACAAAATGTAGCAGGATTGTACTGCTACAATGTTGAATATGGTTTGATTTCTAAAATTTCTGTGTAAAGAATGTGTAATTGTTCTTCAACATTCTACAGGGATTTAAATTTTAGGTTGTCCATGGTTGCTGGAAAATAGTAGTTTCATATTATGTCTGAGGTATGTGATATTCAGACAAATAATGATGTTAAGCTTAACTGCCTCCGTTATAGGATAATAATATCAGTAAGCTGCTCTTCTGGATGTTTAACAAAGTTTTCAGACCAAAAATTAGAGAAGTAGAGCAGCTACAAGGATAGCCAATATTTTGGCCCTAGCCCTTCAAGGTCAGTGAGGACTCAGGACATAAGAGAACCTCTGCTGTGACATCCTGTAACTAAGTGGTGTCCCAAATTTTCTGATCAAAGAGATTATGGGATCACAGAGGGAAGTGATCAACAGTGCATAGTGTGCCTAAGGAGAGTCACCAAGAGAGAAAAAAATTCTCTCAGCGTTTCACAGAGAACAAATTGGTCAAGCAATGGCCGTGACTCATCCAGATGGCTGACACTGACAAAAGATCCACAAGGTGCTGTACATGGTTCCAGAGTAAATCCTGAGGGGATCTCATTGACCTTATCAGATAGCAAAAGTTACATTTTTAGTTATATAGGTCTTGTTTTAACTTTCGCTTAACCATCCAGTAGAAAAGTGTAACCATGAGGTATAAAAATTAAAACTATATTAATATGCTGAGCTGTAAAAGACTTAAGTCAAAAACTTTGAACAACTGCCAGTTGTGCTGATAACTCACTACTATTGTGGACTATTGGGCTATATTGGGCTATTTTGCTAAATTCAAGTACCTACAATCTTTGGACTGACATCAAGCATGAAAAGGTCCTTTAAAGACTTCTCCAAAATACAGCTTCTCTAACTGCAATGGAACACCCATCTCTGACAAAATAAAACAAAAAAAGGAGACATAAATAAAGGACTATTTTGTAGGGAAAAATCTATATACAAGACAGTTAGGATAGATACACAGCTACTTTCTCTTAGTTCAATGAGAAGAAAGGTTTGTACTAATATTGTTTAGACAAGATATCATATCTACATCTTGTCCTTTGAATACTACAAAGACAACAATATGCAATGTATTAATTATTGTAACTGTTCTACTAAACTATTTGTTTCATTGCTATTTGATTTTTTTCATTAAAATGAATAAAACTTTTTAAAAAGAATGTGACATATGTTATCACAGATTGAGGAAATACAAATAAAATCACAATATATGCTGAAAAATTTTTCTTACAATAGAACAAGGAAGACACTTAGCAAACTCAAAGAATTTCCCTTCCTGATCTACCTTCTGTGCTTGAAGGATGGATAACAGAGAAAAGGAAAAATATCTTACTCTTCAAACTAAACACAAAGTTAAAATTTAAAGATGGGGTACACTCTAAAAGAAGAATCTAAACCTACAGAATCTATACCACATGGAGAGTAACTGAGACAATCTCAGTCAATAAGACATAGTGGGGCTGGTGAGATGGCTCAGTAGTCTAAGCACCTACTTAGAACAAGCTAAGCTAAGCAAATCACAGGGACCGCGGTTCAATCCCCCAGCACCACATGTCAGCCAGGCCGCCCCCTGGTGGGCTGAGCTGGCCACACACACACACACACACACACACTAAAATAAAATAAATAAATTTTAAAAAATGTTAAAAAAAAAATAAGACATAGTGTATAATATTCTGAGTTATAAATTCCTCATTGAAACTTGAAAAACTGGAGTAAAAACAACTGACACATCTACTTTGTTTTCCTAAAATAATGGCTACTTCATTACTGCAGGGCAAGTGCACGCGCGCGCGCGCACCCCCCCCCCCCCCACACACACACAGTACAAGGTACTCACTGAGCTGTAGAGATAACCTTCACCATTCATGGCCACATAGAGGCTGGCTTTCACCCCTTGAATGGCCACCACACGGAGCCCCACAGGAATTAGATTGAAGAGAGCTGCAGTGACAAAGAAGGAGAGAGAAAAGGATTAGTGACCTAGTGAATAAATTAGCCTACTCTTACACTGTTTCTTTTGAGAATTCAAGAATCTATTAACTGAAATTCATAGGGAAAAAAAAGAGAAAGAGACAGAAAAAATAGAACTGGGATAAGAATGAGGCCAACTGGCTTGTCTGCTTGTCTTCACGCCACCATTATTTACCCATGTAACGTTAGCTAAGTTATAGGATACATTTAGAATAATGCATTAAATGAGAATCTTTCTAAGGTCCCCTTGTATATTTGAAAGTCTAGGATTTCTCTCAAAATAAATACATACTCAAATAGTCTCAGATGTTTATTTTGTCAAACAAATGATTGTGTGCATCCATGTTTTTATAGTGCAATTTGTCAGCTACATCTTGGAAAAAAAACCAAACGCCCATCAACCAGTAATGAATAAAAAGATGTATTTTCATACAATGGAATACTACTCAGGTAGAAAGATAAGCTCATGGCTTTTGTAGGTAAATGGATGCAACTAGAGATCACGCTCATAGGTGAAATAAATCAGACTTATGTGTAAACATTGTACTATCTCCCAAGTGTAAGAAACTGAAAGAGTAAATAAGATTCAAAAAGTACAATAAAGAAACTGCTCAAAAAGGAAGAAACTAGAGCTGGGGAGATGGTTCAGTAGAACAAGCACTTCCCTTGGTAGCACAAGGGTCTGAATTCAATCCCAGGTTCCACGAAAAAAAGAAAAAGAAAAAAGAAAAAAGAAAGAAACTAGGAGGGTAGAAAGATAAAAGAAGGAAAAATATATGTATATGTATACAAGATGGCTAAGATAATCGCAGGAATTTCTATTAGCTCATTAGCAGTGCTCAGATTGTTTGATCAGTTCTGCATGCCTGTCCCTGGTAACCTGAGCAACTACTATGAAGATAACAATATGCAATACAATAACTACTCCTAATTTCCTATCTTTGTCTTGTCAAATTCTGTATTGTTTTAGTTTTCTTTTTGTCTCTAAAATAAAAATATTGGGGCCGGACAGATAGCTCAGTAAAATAAGCGCTTGCCTGGCAAGCACAGGAGCCCGAGTTCAATCCCTGATTCCACAAAAAAAAAAAAAGATTCATAAAATAAAATTATTCTCCATAGTAATTAGCAAATTTGCATTCTGAAGTAATAATAAAAGAAGACAAGTAAATATATTCATTGGATGCATATATAATAATATAACAATGATAATATAATAAAATTACCATCATGATTGTTAAAGGCAATACTTCTCAATGTCAGTGTTTTCCCTGTGGTCCTGAACATTATCTTAAACATAATAGATGGATGCAAAAACCATGACTCATTAGTAGCAACAGTGGGGGAAAGATCTTTAATCTTTCCATTGGTGCATGTAAATTAAGATACATAAATGGGTGAAGAGATAACTGGTAAAGAACATATCCAGGGAAAAGTATGCACATTTAAAAGCATTAAAAGTCTACTTGACTTGATAGTTCAGCAAATAAAAGCATCTGCTTAGGCACATGCAGAGGCTAAAGGTTCGATCCCCAGCCTGCTGTGCCAGCCTGGTCCCTAGGACATGCTGAGACTGTGAGTGAGACTGGGTGTGGTGGCACACACTTGTAATCCCAGAGCTTGGGAGGCTGAAAAACAGGAAGGACCACTACAAGTCCAATCTGTGTAGTGAGATCTTGTAGATCCTGTACTAAATAGAGTTTTTAAAAAAGTCTACCTGACAAATTTAATTTAGCATCATAAAATAAATTGAGAATATTTTGCAGTCTTTAAATATTAAAGTTATCTATAGGCTCACTCAAAGAAAGAAATCATAGACCAAAAATATTTTTTTAATATCATCTATATCTGTAACAAGGTACTACCATGAATTATGTTTCATTGCTACTCTTGTAGTGATATTTAAGATTACAAAATGAGCATAAGCAAAAAACATTATCTCTACCCTGAAAAAATTATATTACGTATGACAGGAAAGCAATGCTATAGCTAACCTCTGTAGGTGATATTATAAATAGGGATGAAATATCTCATGACTATGTGCATAGAGATGGTCTCTGAAGTTCACTTTAGTTTCCTAACTTAGAAAATTTTGTCTGTGACTTCTACAGAGAAATTTTGTATCAGTTCAGATCCTCTTGATTTTAATATAAATACAAATAAATTAGCCCAGAGCTACTATTGCACAGAAATGCCTCTATTTTTCTGAGATATCTAGACTTGGAACTATGCAGGCACAGAGAGACACAAAAACACAAAGTATCTGGACTTCAGCCAAATGTTCATTTGAGAGTCAAGGTCACCAAGCCTTAAAGCCAGTGTTTACTGTAGCCCTCCTCAGGTCCTACCTGTTGACATTTGGTCACCTTCTTTGCAACTTTGCAATCCCCTCATTTGCCATGAAAGTTCAGACTAAAGCTTAGTGGTTGCTTAAGGGTCTATCCTTGGCTTAATTTAGATCCAAATTAGTCCTTGATATTCCTTGATTTTTACCAGTGTCAGGATGCTACTAAAAATACCTAAGAAATTCCAGGCCTTGAAGTCTAGGATAAATGCTAAGAATATTGGGGAGAATAAGCTAAGACATATGGAACAACCTAATACAGTGTATAAGACACTTCTATAATTAAATGTGATATATGCAATCTCTAAATATTCTCTGTGTTACAGAAGTTCAGAAAAATGGAAGACCTGTGCTCCCTGCAGCACCAGGAGCTTACAACACCGCAGTATGTAGGATCTCAGTTGACTTGAGAGAAGGGGTAGAACTCGAGTGAACAAAGAACAAAAAGACATTGTAATGGGGCAATAAGGTAAGTAGTTTTGCAAAGTAATGAGTGTGTGGGAAAGGACTTGGAAACTGGAACATGCAATTCATTTTGAGCAAGAATAGAAACAGAGTAAAGAAAAATAACTGAGATTCTATTCTAATATAAAAGAACCAGACTTCAGCAAACGAGCAACAAACTGTGACCTATAAAGACTGGAGGGGATGAGAGAGATTTGGAGATAGCACCGTGGCTGAACCAACCACTCAGTTAGTCGGTGCTAATCCATTCATTTAACCTGTTTGCCTTGATTTTTATTATCTATAAAATAAGCAAAGTAACTCTTAGTGCATGGAGTTTATGGCAGTCAAAACTCATTATCATGTTCTTGAAAATGTTTCAGTACAGAAATGTGTTTTCTTAAACTATTTCTAGTTAATACTTGCTTTTTCTGATTGGGGAATAGCGTTACAAGATTGACATAAAAACTGATATGGTCCCTTAGTAATAGCTTTGGCTTTGTATTTAAAAGCTTGCAGACTGCTTTAAAAGATACACTTCCAAGTTGCACATTTTTCAAAGGTCTGCTGTGTCCATCGATGTATTTCATCCCCAGCCATGAAAGCTACAACAGAATGCGGATTAGTTTTAGGAGAACAAATAGATTCAGGAGGTAATTCAGGTAAAATGACATCTGAGAAAAAGTTTTCTGGTTCTCTAAAGTTTTGATCTGTCTAAGACAACATACTTCCTCCATTTTTTGTCTTTTACATTCAGTATTGTTGAGTATCCATTCTTGTTTACTTCTAGATTAGACTGAGTTGGATTCTCCTGCATGTGCGATAGCTAGAGGTGGCTTCGCAGGACTTAGCATGACCAATGACACATAGGTAGAAGATAGTTCTTAATAATAAGTTTGAAGACCCTTTTCCTTGAAAACAGCTTGTAGTTCAGGCTGGAGAGATAGCTCGGCAGTCTAAGGGTCTGCCCAGAAAGCGCAAGGTTCTGAGTCGGATCTCCAGTACTTCATGCTGAGTCGGCCCCGGAACCTTGACACACCATGCACCCCACTAAAACAGGGCTGGTGGTGCCTGTCTGTAATTCCAGTACTGTGAAGGCTGAGACAGGAGGATCACTACGAGTCTGAACTGCATAGTGAGACCCTGTACGAAATTAATTAATTAATTTTTTTTAAAAGAATCTGCTTTCCTCCTCAACCCTTGGCCTTCTTGTTGTTAGGATGACAGCATACCTAGGTCACCGCAGACCAAGTAAAACAAAGGCTATTCCTAAGTGAGCGGTGGCAGGCGAGCTGAAGGGAGCTGAGTCCCCAGAGCTCTGTGGAGCAGTGGCACAGCTCCAGTATTCATCTGCCTAGATCAGCCTTTTTATGAAAGAAATTGAGAACTTCTTCTAGGCTGCGTAATGCAGAGGCAACCCTGATCCTCATGGCTAGCAACAGCAGCACTGTCCTGGCAGGCACTGATTGACTGTGAAGTGCCCGCACACTGTAAATAAAAGTCACTAGTAGTGAATACCAAGTCTGACAATTGTTCTTTTCAGGAAAAAGAAGGAAATACAAAATTTGCATCCTGTCTTTCTAAAGTCCACACTTTCCAGAACAAATGCTAAAAATATTGGTTCACATGGTAGAAACACAGAGGAAAACCACAGGAAATGTTTTCCTATGCGGAGAGTTTTAAGAAAACTGCAAACTAAGGTTCTTAACCCTCCAGAAGAGAAGCTTATTGTCATTACCCTAAAACATAGGCAGTTGAGCTTAACCTCACTATCTGTCTGAATATTAAACATCTTAGGTATAACATGGAACAGGTATTTTCCATCAAGTATTGATATGTGAACCTTTAAGTCCCTACAGAGTATGAAGAAAAAAATCAAAAATAAAACAATATTAAAAAATAGGAATAAACAATTGCATATTTTCAATCAGAAGTTTAGAAATCTGACCATATGCACGATTATAGAAGGACAATCCTGTGACATTCTTTATCTTGTCTCTTGTTTTCATTTTTCACCCTTTAAAAAAAAACAAACATTTGCTTGAGAGAGAGTACGGCAGTAATTGGCATGTCATGACCAGCAGTATGTATTTAGAGGACCAGAATGACAGGCATTCCAAGCATGACCCTACTATTACACACTGCTATCTTCAGTTAGCATATATAGTTAGTTAGGGTGAGAATT